AACCGCCTACATACTGGGCCATTGGGCGCGTTCAGCAGAACAACATGATACGTGATCACTGATGGATCAGTAATCAGTAATCAAGTTTGTTCTGCTGAACGCTCATGAATCATGAGTCATACATTGCAATGACGTAAAAGTAAAAAAAGATATCAAACAGTGCGCGCGCGAATTAAAAAAAAATATTTTTCCTGCCTCCGTAACTGCAGCACTGACCACAGCTATCGTAGATTCATAAAAATCAAAAATGGCAGAACATTTATAAAGAGTTAAACCGAATTTATGGTTTTTATTCAAATTAATTTATTAATATGTTTCGGTATTTCGACTATCGATACATGCGAGAAGCCATGTATCATGTATCAAGAAAAGGGAGCGTACTATTTTTACGCTACCTGATAACTGATCACTGATGCAAAATTCTTGCACCATGATTAGTAATCATGTGCGTTCAGCAGAACTATCGTAGGAAATCCATCAGTGATCAGGTATCATGTTGTTCTGCTACCGGCAACAGCAACAAATATAGAACGTCAACAAAAATGGTACGGTTGATCAGTGTAGCATATTTACAGGCGTTAAATTCCCTACATTTTTCAGGGGACGAAATTGCCCCAGTGGTGTGCCAATTTATTCCCCTTATGTGGCGGAATTGCCCCAGTATATTGGTTTTACTTATAAATTTTTTTATTAATCACCAAGGTAATTAAAAAAAAAGGAGAATTTCACATTTAGAAGCTTGGTGCTAAGCGCATTCAACAATAAAAAAAGAAATATGATAACGTGCCTCAAAATGGACAAATAATAGCTTTGAAAAAATGCAGACGAAATTGCCCCACTCTCCCCTACAGTTAAAACTCTGATTTCCCATACGATTTCAAGGTTTTAACCCTACTTTAAATTTAACAAGAGAACGAGAAAACGGACCTTAATGGTACAACCACAATAAATAACGTTTCATATACAAATTTAGACAGCTAAATTCTTAACTATATTACTAAAAACTACTTCAAAAATTATGAAATACCCGATTATATATTTTCAAATAACTCGGAACTTTCTTTAGATAATATAATATAATAATAGATAATTTATTAAATCCATTCATTAAAATGAATAATACCAAAATATCTATATCCTTTATATAATAAAATAAAAATAAAAAAATAAAAATAAAAAATATATTTGTAACCAAAAAACAACGGCCAGAATTAGAAAAACCTATTAACGAAGAAATATTTATTACAGAATTACGAGATCGTTTAAAGGAAATCCATAATGAATCGGGACGATCCATTTTAGAAGGGGAAGAGCTATCCAACCCGTGAAAGGGTTCCACTTATGGAATTAATAAAAAAATTTTTGCATTGGTTTATGATACTGCCTTCGCCTTTTTCATTAACTTCGAGGTCCGCGCTTGACCGTTCTGCTAAGATAAATAAACCTATCGTAAAGTCAACAACAGCTTTCGTTCGAAGCCAAACTCTCACGTTGGAAGCCAAAAGTATTGCGCTAAAATGGCCGAGGTTTGTTGGAGAAGATTTTTGAATTAAGGAGGCAGTCTTATTCGCATTGAAACCGGGGTCGGTCATAAAAAATAATATTAAGTGAAAGTGTCTTGATGTATTATTGAGTTAGTGAATTAAGGTCTGCACCAATAAAGTAAAATTAAAAAATAAAAATTATATTTTTTTTAATCAACCAATTTTTTGTTTTAGTCCTTCAAGACGGCCAGACACAACCAATGCATTTGTTTTGCACAGAAGTCCAAGATAATTAAGTTATAATATTAAATGTGTTTTAACAGTTCAAAAGCTACATTTAGTTCTCGACGAAATTTTTTCTGTATGCCACAATTCAAAAGGAATAAGATACACGATTTTTTATATAATACACAGTGCTATAATGTGCATTTCTGCGTCAGTGATTTTTAACTTCGCGCCTAATTTCGCAAGAAAAATAATTATTTCTAAAAAAGTACGGTCTGGGGAAATTTCGCCACCCTACGCTAAGGGTAAATTCGCACCTATTTTAAATACATATTTTTATATTTGACGAGCTGGCTAACGAACAGACTACCAGCAGCAGCAACAAATATAGGACGTCAACAAAAATGGTACGCTTGATCAGTGTAGCATATTTTCAGGCGTTAAACTCCCTACATTTTTCAGGTGACGAAATTTCCCCAGTTGTGTGGTGATTTTACCCCCTGTGTGGTGAGATTGCCCCAGTATATTGGTTTTACATTTTATTTTTTTATAAATCACCAAGCTAATTAAAAAAATAGGGGAATGTCACATTTTAAAGCTTGGTGCTAACCGCATTCAACAATAAAAATAGAAATATGATAACGTGTCTCAAGATGGACAAAAATAGCTTTGAAAAAATGCTGACGAAATTCCCCCACTCTCCCCTACTTCGTCAAAGATGAAAAAGTTAGAAAAAATGCAAACATACTGGTTTTCGGTTTTTAGGAGTGTATTTTTAACGAAGCCATTTTTGCCAGCATTAATGCATTTTTTCGAACTTTTTCAACATTGACGAATTGTAGCTTCTAAACAGTTAAATGAAACTCAATGCAGTGTATAAGTTCAAGGACATTCTTTTACCTGTAAAATAAGTCTTTTGTGGTTGAAATCGGTTAACCACAACTCGAGTAATAGTCTAGTCACATTATGTGGGATAAACCATCGAGTGAGCCAATAACCCGATTACTCCAAAAAAGTGTTTCCACTGGGTTAACTCCAAATATCGGGTGATGACATCTAGTGTTTGTTGTTTTTATGGTTTATTTGACTAGGGATGGACCTTCACCGATAGGAAATAAATACAAAATATACATAAAAATACAAAAAAATACTCCGAAATACCAAAGACCCTAAAAGTACCTCACTTTTGCCCCCATCTAGTTGCCTATACCCACTATGTAAAAAAAACAGGGTTATGTCAATAACCCCATAACTCCATAACTCCACCCCAGTGTAAATAGACTATTAGATATTAAAAAAGTGTCAAAAACGTTTTTTACATTTAAAAAAAAATTGGATCCATAAAAAAAAGTTTAAGTGCCATTTTCTTAATCAGAAAGACGTACCTTACACCCAAAAAAAATTCGATTTGAATCGTAGGTCAATTTGACCTTTTTATACCCGTTACTCGTAGAGTAAAAGGGTATACTAGATTCGTGCAAAAGTATGTAACAGCTAGAAGGAAGCGTTTCCGACCCCATAAAGTATATATATTCTTGATCAGGGTCACTAGCCGAGTCGATCTAGCCATGTCCGTCTGTCCGTCTGTCTGTCTGTCTGTCTGTCTGTCTGTCTGTCTGTCTGTCTGTCTGTCTGTCTGTCTGTCTGTCTGTCCGTCTGTATGAACGCTGAGATCTCAGAAACTACAAAAGCTAGAAGGTTGAGATTTCCCACACATATTCTTTGGCTTCCTACGCAGCGCAAGTTTCTTTTAGCCGAGCGCCACGCCCCCTCTAACGCCCACAATCGCCCACTAACGATTTTAAAATGGGTCCTGCGCCCACATCTTTAAAGATTTCCGAGAAGTATAAATGCAATTTTGTTGTGTATATTTATACCTATCGAAATGTAGAAGACATTTTTCAAATCGGACCATTCATTAAAAAGTTATACGATTTATAAATTGTCAACATATATCTATCTCCCTCGCACTCCCTTTAGCTGAGTTACGATTATTAGTCGGGACACCAACCCGACACAGCGTTCGCACTCCCTTTAGCGGAGTGACGGGTATTAGATAGTCGGGACACCAACCCGACTATAGCGTTCTCTCTTGTTTAAGATCATTTTTAACTTGATATGGGGCCAGGTAAATGTGATATGGTCGAAAATGCAAGAACGAAAATTTTCATTATTCCTGACCAAAACTTATTCTAGTGCGAGCGAGAAAACATGCTTGAAGTACGTCAGTTCGAATTTCGAATACGTCTTTCTTGCTTCCACTCATGTCATTTTGCTCGCCATATTGATTCTTGCGCTATTTTTCGAAGTTAGAGAATCTCCGAGAGAGGGAATTCGGCAAAATGATATTATTTAATGTAAATTTTATAAATATTTCAGGTAAAAACGATATGAGTAGGAATAACCAGAAAATTACCCGGACTTATCGATTTTACGGCGACGTGCTTTTTTTTGTGTGTACCGGAAAACAAAAGTTTCTTTCATGGTATATTTAATCAATTTTTATACCCGTTACTCGTAGAGTAAAAGGGTATATTGTATTCGTGCAAAAGTATGTAACAGCTAGAAGGAAGCGTTTCCGACCCCATAAAGTATATATATTCTTGATCAGGATCACTAGCCGAGTCGATCTAGCCATGTCCGTCTGTCCTTCTGTTTGTCCGTCTGTCTGTCCGTATGAACGCTGAGATCTCAGAAACTACAAAAGCTAGAAGGTTGAGATTTTCCACACATATTCTTGGGCTTCCTACGCAGCGCAAGTTTATTTCAGACGAGCGCCACGCTTCCACTAACGCCCACAATCGCCCACTAACGATTTTAAAATGTGCCTGGCGGTCACACCTTTAAAGATTTCCGAGAAGTATAAATGCAATTTTGTTGTGTATATTTATACCTATCGAAATGTAGAAGACATTTTTCAAATCGGACCATTCATTAAAAAGTTATACGCAATCCAAAAATATATATCCATCTCCCTCGCACTCCCTTTAGCCGAGTGACGGTTATTAGATAGTCGGGACACGAACCCGACTATAGCGTTCTCTCTTGTTTTTTGTAAACTGGTGTAATTAATGGCGAATCGCCGTTGAATGAAAATCACAGGCGATTTTCTTGAATCAATGGCGATTTTTTTTATGAGTGTCCCCTTAATAATAAAAAAGTATTCCTTAGAATAAAATATGTACCCACTGACCAAAACACCTCTTTTTATTATGGTGATTAATTTGCTTTTATTTTTTGGGTGTAGTGGGCCAGGAATTGTTTGTCAATCCATCGATGTATGTAGTTACCTTTAAATCGTTGTATGTGCTTGTTTTATTCGATTCCTTTTCGTCCTTTGCCGTCCATACTGGAAAAGTAATTTCAACTCGTTCGCGAAGGTATGGATGGCAAAAGCCAAAAGTCGCTGACAGACGACATGGCCTCGCCCACATACGGCACGGAGGTGCTCATTGGCAACTGGGCCGAGCGCCGCTTCGCTGTGGTGGAGCAGAGCAACGCTATCCTGCCAGGACTCCGAGTCAGTGGCTGCGAGTACCACCGGTCACTATGCCAGGATACGTACACAAGGGCACCGTTCGATCGTGCCGATACAGTTCCCTTTTTCGTAGATCATCGCAAGTTGGCTTTCCAGAACTTTATGAGGAACCGGAGGTCGTGCTTGAACCTTGTAGACCATGAATCGCTAAAACGAAACTTCACTACAACCAACACCCTTGAGTTCCAAGAGCTTCCGCGACTGCGTATCTTGCTCGCAAAAGGGGAAAATGAAAGGAGCGGTCCCCCAAAGCAACCGACGGACGTGGACAGACTGCAGGCCTTTGGAAATCTTACGGAGACACATAACTATCTCAATCGGTTTAAGTGCGCGAAACTACTTGACGAGGTCAGCAACATGCAAACCACCTATTCAGCCAGCTTCAACCGCCCGTGGAAGAGCAAGCCAATCTTCGAGTTCGGACCAGACTACGACGGTGTAGTCAAATTCGATTTGGCTTGCTAGCGCCGGTTTCTTCTCGATATCTTGCAAAAATTGTAATAGTGCAGTTAATAGAAACTCAATCCTCTATATTACAAGATTCAATTTATTTCAAATCATTTTCTTGTATAATATTATGGGTTCGTATTTTAAGTAGTTCTATATTTTGGATGCCAGAAATTCATTTTTTTTTTGTTGCACATGCCGAAGCATTGGCTTTTCCACGTATCTTTTTAGTGAGCTATTTTTTATTTGGTGTCTGTTTTGTTTTGGAAATTAGTAGGTCGATAGATGTTTACAATACTTTTGCGTTTACCATTGTTTTTGCTTTGTTACAGAATATATATTTAAATATTAATTAATTATTACAAAAAGTAAAATTTTACGACATTAAACTAGACGACGCAAGATTTCGCATAATTTTACTTGCTTAAATATTTTATTTTTGACTCGGTAATATTTCTTTGCCTTAAAATCTTATTTATTCATTTTTTTGGGTTCGATTAATTTTGGGCTGCCATGATAGGTTTCTTTATGTATTTTTGTATATTTTTTTTTTGGCTGACGATTACTTTTAAAATGATTCTTAAAATCTAAACCAATGGAAATTTTGTAGATCTGAGTGTGTGGTGGAGAATGTTAGTGTGTAATTTGGTGGTTCCATGTTCCACGGGTTTTGTGTGGGGTTTGTGATTTTGGGGGATTATTTTAGTTTGGCTGGGGTAATGAAATTTCTTGATATATGTTTGCATATATAGTGCTTAATTTTTGCTTATAACAATTACAATTTTGAATTTTTGTTTTTTTTTTGGGTTTAGTAATTTTTATTCTTTTGACGGTGAATTTTGTTTATTCACTTCGCTTTTTCCTTCTAAACTTTCACTTTTAGTTCATACTCAAAGTTGGGTGCCTTTTGATCCATTTAATTTTCTCTTACATTAAATACCCTAAGTATTAATTTTTACCATTACTTAATTTGTATTTAAAAAATGATGCTTATACATTTGGCTTAAACTTAAATTTTGGTTTTGGTTGCTCCGAAAAATGTAATTAAACGTGAATTGTCTTTAAATAGTTGCCATGACTCGACCTTGCACTGTGCAATCAATTTTGGAATGACCGAGATTAGTTGTTTTTTCCGAGAATTTTACTTTAGAATTGGCCGAGAAAGAATTTATATAATTAGTTCAAGATTTGTATCTTGTTTTATTTTTATTCAATGCCAGTGGTTAAGTCACCATTTTTTATTCCGATTTTGATATCTAAAGTTTCTTATTTTCGCTTAAGTGCGATTTTTTGTCGCAAAACATTTACTTCGAAACGTTTGTTATTTTCTTGAAAGTTGCCCTTTTAGCTTTCATTGTAAATATTTCTGATTTAGAGAACCATTTATTAAATTCAACTTTTTTAATGGTTTAAACCTTGTTTTTGATTCAGCCTAAACAAAAATTGTTGTATGCAAAAATTTGTTTGCTTGCAGTGTTACTTGTATTTTTTAAAAATTGTTGATGGTTGATTCGGTAATTTTAATCTGTTAGTGTAAAACCAAATTCGAATTGTCGTTTCTTAACTGAGGATTGGTTTAGATTGAAAATAAACTCTGAAGATTGAATAAAATAAGAACAAAATGTTTACATTATGTGTTGTTATTGAATTTGATAAGCCAGTTTTATTGTTTACGTGCAATCTGTTTTTAGTATTTTTTTTTACCAATTAATTAAATTTTTACCAGAAAAGTGAGATTTTTGTTTTCTTGTTTGTTTCTTGTAATATAAAAAAGTTTTACATTATTTTGCTTTGATTTTCACTGCGTTGTTTTTTATTTATATATGTATGTATAACTTGCTTTTTACACTCAATCGATTAAAAATTATACAAATTCAAATATAAAAATGCTTAACAATTTTTAGCTATTGTTACCTCTGCTGTTGCTGTTTTTGCGTTTGCCTCTTTAAAAAATATATTTTTATAGGTAGTTAGCTTGATCTTGCGTTACGTTTGCTGTATACTTAAAATCACCGCTGTTGGGTTTTCGATATTCGTTTTTGATTCGGTTTAATCTGCTTCATTTCAACACTTCTCATTATCATCTGCTTCTGCTTTTTCTATTAGTTGCTCAGTTAGGTTTTGCTGATTCTGTCTATTGTATAAAAGTCGGTCAATAAGAAAAAAGTATTATTATTGTACTATGGTTTCTGCTGCTGCGGTATCCGTTGCATTTGTTGTATATGTTGTAAATGAAAAGATTTGTTCGGTTTATTGTTTAATTGTATCAGGCTATTGGCTATTGGCTGGCCCAGGGCAGGTACTTGTCCTGATCCTGGCAGTATAGTATCACTATTGCTTTGTTTGATTTTACTTTGGTTTTGATTCGGTTTGATGGTTTTGATTAAAACGTCTGCTCAACAAACCAAAAATCTGTTAGTCCTCAATTAAATTCTCACTTTCTGATAAAAATAAATTAAACTTTTTTCTGTGTATGTCACAAAAACGTAATCGACTATGGAGCAGTGGCCACTCTTCTGCAAGGATATGTTGCGTTCAGCTGATTAACTCATTGCGATACTTCATGAACTGGATCGTACCTTTTTTTCATCCCGCTTAAACATTTTTGGTTGCTGTTCTTCGCTTTCCGATTTTTTGGTGCATTAGCTATTTGTTAGCAAAATTAGTGAAATAATTGATTTACTTACATTGGTACTATTGCATTTGCAGTTGCAGTTTGTGATTGCTTATGTACAGTTAGAGTTGAGTTTCAATTAATAATAGGTTCATTCCTTCCCACTTTCGGGATAGTTGCATAAATAAAATTTGTTTCTATTGACTCTGCTCAGTTGTTATTTCTATGGTAGTTATTAAATTGTAGTCCCTGTCAATTGTTTATAATTACAAACGTATATATCAAAGTAATTTCAACATAACAAATTGTGTTCTCTTATCTGATCTAGTCTGATCCTTCTGAATATTAAACTTATCGTAAATCATCGCATTTGATGTTGTCATCCCTTACTCACAGGGGAGCGCAAGGTTTAAAATTATATTTCATTTGCATACTTCACTTAACACTTAATGGAATATTTTGTATGTCTGTTAAGTAAATGTTACTATATGTTCTCATTTAAAGTTTGTTTTTCGGCATTTTCGTCGATCCCCGCCGACTTTTACTATTTTTTTGCTGTTTTTCTCAGTTGTAAGCTGTCTGATTGATTTATTTTCGTATTGTTGCTGTTGTGTACCGATATTCTAATTTTCTTTTTATTTGAGAGCTGTATTCATTTCTTTTTTGTCGGTTTGCTGTAAAAGTTATGTAAAATATTTTCGGTACTATTTCATTTGATTTGTTCCTGTTGCAAAAACAACAATTCGTATATAATATAAATAAATTAATTGATTTCTGTTTGTTATAAATTACTTGTTCTATGGGCACATTGTGTCTATTGCAAATAGTGAACGGTACAGGTAGCATAGAAACAGACTGGGACCTTACACTGAAATTGGTCTTTAGAGACACAGATCTTTGAACATACTTATATAAATTCCAAAGATTCTGGATTGAAGTGTGCATTAATAATAAACTAAGACAAATCAAATTTCGTTTAGGGAAATTACACATCGTTTTAGTACTTATATTTCTCTTGATAGGCTGTCTTGAGCTGTATAAAAATAAATTTAGTAACAACTTAATAGAACATTTTTGATTTAGATATTTATTTAGATAATAAATAGAGAAAAAATCGGTCCCAATGGTGTATCTATGCATTGCTCGCCCAGGTCTTTGCAATATTTGAATATAGAGTTTTTATCAATATCGCCACATCGGCTTAATTAACAACTAACGAGGCTATTGTTGTTTTGGATTATTTCATTACATTTTTCAATTTGGACTCTTGTAAAGTAAAACCAGGTTATGGTTGAATTCTTGCCATTTCAGAACAGTATTTTAGCCGGCGTTCAATACAATTAAAAGTCTGTAATTGCTCCTATTGACGCAGCTGGCTGCTGTCACAAACTTTTTAAGGTTACGTCAAATATAAGTAGATATATCATATATATAGAGAGTATGCCTTAAATAGGTTAAAAAATATAGTACACCATACATATAATATAAGAGTTTAGGGTTTTCCATATGCTATACGCTATTTTGCAATTGTTTCAATTTTGTTTCATCATTTGCTTTTGAATTTCATTAATTTTATTTTGAGTGACTTTACTTCATTTCATTCCTTGGTAATCGCTTCCATTTCGGATATTTATTAATTTAACAAAAAGTATCTTTGGAAATCGAATTAAATTTATCAACTATGCGTTACCCACAATTTTAAATCAAATCAAACAGCTGTTCAATGGTCTTTTTTATCTTTGTATATATTATTACTTCTCGTTTTCATTTAGAGTTATCAGTATCGCTATTATGCCTCAGTTTTTTAAATTAATGCTTACCGTTGCTATTTCAATGTGTATTTATCTATTTTTTTAATATTTTCTTTTCTTTGCTGATTTCTTTGAGTTATATTTTGTTTGTCGGTTGCTTTTATGCTTGGTGGTTGACTTAAAAACTATTATCACTATTGCAGAAAGCGGCTGTACTCAATTATAATGTATTCGCTTCTGGAAATTGTGGGATGGAGAGTTGGGTTTTCCACAGGTTATACTGCCCTCCATCCCTTTTCTTTTCCTTTCTTTTCTGTTTCGAGTTTGCTTCTTTGTTGTTTGTATGTTTGTTGTAGGCATTTTCTATTAATTTTGCTTTTCATTGGGATTGAGCTATATTCTGAGTCCGAAATGAAAGCCGGAAAAGTAATTATTTTTGAATTATCCTCAAATATTATTCTGATATTATATTTTTCTATTTATTATGATTTTTTTTACTTTTATTATAATTTTAGTTTATACTTTTTTAAGAAGAAAGGATTTTACTTTATTTCAAAATTTTTTCATTTTGGAGTTTCAGGGTATCATGATTTCTCATCGAAACGCAGTTTTCAGATTACTTTCATTTCTCATGTTTGATCTTTTTTGACGATTTTGATGTGCCAAGTATAAAATATGTCCATGCCTCTGTTGTGTTTGTGATTTTTGGGTTTGCTTTATGGTTACATGTTACTTATGTTTACTTATTATGGCTCTTTGATACTGCAATTAAAATTTCTGCTATAAAAATTACTTGTATTTGTACTCTTGGTTATTTAAATTGGGCTATTGTTTTTGTTAGGTATGCTGTAACTTTGTTTGTGTTTTCCTATTTCTTCCATAGCAGTTTGTTTTATCTGCGTTGTGTATCTGAAGCTATTTACTTTCTTCGGCTGTTTGTCAGGGGTTATATAATTGTATGTTTCGGTTCAGGTCCGGTCTATGCGGCTTGACATGCTGAAGCCTTTTTATATTGAAAAATTGGCTGTCATTACAATGCCTTATGATCATTGAAGTTATGCTTCATCGATGTTCATTTGCACACCCAGAAAAAAAATTCCCTTGATTTAAGTCCACGTTCCTTAAATTAAGGAACGATGGACTTTAAAGCCATTGTTCCTTAAATCAAGGTCAATGGACTTAAATTAAGAAAATGTTTTTTTCTGAGTGCAGTTTCTCTGTATATTTGTCCCGGCTGGTATGTTTTTGGTCTTCACTTACTGATGCTCCTTAGAAATATTCCAAGAGCAAGATTCCACTGAAGCAGCTGGTCTACTTCTTTTTGCAGCTTTCTTTAACTAATCTTTTCTATGACATCTTGTTAGCAACTATAAAATTAAATAAATAATACAGTAAAAACTTAAAATAGGAACCAAATTCAAATCATATAAAACAATAGATAATCGGAAATATATAGTATTTTACAGAACATTAATGGAGTATAGTCTCCAGGTATGTTCTGCAAAATGATTTTGGAGCATTTTAAAATTTTGTTCTTAGTCTCTGTCTTTATGCTAGATTTTGTTGCGCCTAAATTTATGTTTTTGTTTTTGAGTAAGTGTATGCTTTAAATTTTGTGTTAATGCCTAAAATGTACAAAAGTTTTACGTTTAGGTTTTTTTGTTTTTTAATTTGCATTTATCACAGCGACATTCAGTCTAAATTTTGCTTTTATTGGAATTATAGCATAATTTGCCATAATTTACTTTGATATAATCGTTTTAATAAATTTTTTCATTTCTCTTTTAACTAAAACTAAACATAATTTTGATTTAAAGCCAAAGGTTCTTGCGTGTGTTCGTCGTTTGTTCATCGATTTTATATTTTCGATTTTTAAAGCCGAAAGGATTAATAAAATTTTGTCTAAAAGGCCTAAAGTATGGCTACAGCTTAGTGATAAACTGTGTGTTTTTATAGCAAATCATGCTGATCATTCCGATCAAGTCTCTTTGGTCTAATTCCAATAAAAGCCACCATATTGGGTACCATATACATTTTTGGATGTTGGTTGTCCTTATGCCAGAGCATGCGATATTTTCGTATTTAACGTTTTGTTCCGCTATAAATTTTAATTTAGATGTGGAATTATCATGTGCCTAAAAGTGATTTTAAAATTTTGACTAACATTACCGTAACCGTAGGTTTTGTAAAATATTTTACAAAGGAAACAATTTGTTCAAACTATTTATAAAACTTTTGCTGGTAGATTTACATTTAATTTAAGCCGAAATATGCTATGTACAATTTTGAATAATCCATTGTTGCCGAAATTTTTGCCAGCGACACTCATATCACAAAAACCAGACGCCTGCCCAAGCCGAAATAGTCGTAGTTTTGTGTAATGCCAAAATTGTCAGAGTTACCCCGTGTATAAGGTAATTAAAAAAAATAATTTGGTAAGGATTAAAGTAAAAAAAACCGAAGAAATAAAAACTTAAAATCAGATAAATCATATATTTGTTTTATTGAAATAATTAAATAATATATCCAAACATAATTTATATCTTTAAGTTTAAAAACAGTGAAAACAAATCGTATTCGGAGCACTTGCTTGGATTCCAATAGAAACTTAATTGACTAATCACTAAATTTATGAAATAATGAGTAGATACTTTTTAAGGTGAAACGACTAAACTAAAGTTAATTTCTGCTCTTTCGCGATTTTTCTTTACATACATACATAAATATGTATACTTTTATATATAAATATGTAGGAAATATATACTAAAAGATTAATAACAATCATAAATGCTTTGACGGTACATTGGAAAATTTGATAAGAAACTAAATTTGTCGATTATATCCACACAGTTGGCATGGGAAAAACGTGGGTGGCGAGGGGTCGTGTGGCTATTAAAACGGTGGATCAGATTGAATATAGGTTTGAAGGTTGTTACTTGTTCATCTATTATCTTTTGACTATTGTTCATTTGTATGGCACCTGAAGAGTCACATTTGAATTGCCTGCTATATAAACATTACGTTTCTGCTCATTTTTTTGTCTGCCTTGTCTGTGTGCAATTGTGTGGACATAATTGGGTTAAACGTATGCCTAATTACTAAATAAAAACTCAACATAAATTACACATACATAATTAGTTGGGGAAGACAACAAATGAATCCTAGTTCAAAGTACCTATGGATAATAAACTTCTTATTCGTTTTTCGTATCATTAAATTGCATTCCAGTATTGTTTTATACACTTTAAAAATCACATATCAATTGAAATGAAAAAGAAATTTCTAATAAGAGTTTGGTGGCTTCGGTCAATCCTCTTGGCTTAGCCAAGATATTAACCCAGCATAATCCGATCAGCCACATTTGTTAAACAAAAACTCCAACACATCAAAAAATCTAAAGAACAGAAATGAAACTTTGATGCTGCTTTAAAAAACAAATTGCTCAGCGCCCACGTCTGCGTTTCCCTTTTCCATCCCTTTCCCTCTTCCCTTTCCACCTCTCCTTCATCCTATCGCGCCATTTATCCTTTGTCCCGAACAGGTTCTAGCTGCCTTATCTATCACGTCACACGTACACACTCATCATATCTGCCATATCTGAGCTATCCTAGTTTTACGCCTAAGTCGTATATCTTCGGTCGATGTCGATGACGCACTTTTCATGTTCTCGAAAGTCCTCGTGTTTGTGTGTATATAAATATTTGATGTATTTTTAGTCTTTAAAGGTGTTGGGTGCTTAATCAAAATTATCAAAAAGGAATCGTATAACGTTGTGTTTGGCTCTCGTTTCTCCTTCTTTCTGCTCCTTGCTTCTCTTACACATTGACCATTTGCATTTCATGTTTATGGTTTATATTAAAGGAGTTTAGAGTCCTTTTCAAAAAGACTAGTACTCGTCCTGTTTGCGTGGTTGCGTCTCATCCTATCAGCTCCTCTCGGTTCGTTCGTTTTCCATTACCAAAACTGTGTTTTGTGGTTCTAAGATTAGTTTTAAAAACTAGGAGAATTTGTATGCGTCTAATACTAGAGAACTAAGCGAACCTATCAATTATCGTGAATAGTGTATGTTTTTCAACTTTGAATTCCTGCCCTCCGCTCCTGTCTCTCCTACTGATGACATCATAGAGATCCGAATATCGAGTGTATGTGTGGATGAATGGGAATCGCGTGTGACAGAGTCGGTGGCGGTGGAGGCGCAGCTCCGTTGGCCACCGCCGGGTGACCCGGATGTCCCGGGTGACCCGGGTGGACCGTGTGCGAGGCCGGTGGTGGGGGCAGCGTAATCGAGAGCGTCACAGTCTGCGGCGCCGCCACTGGAGATGCGTGGGCGGATGAGGGCGCGGCCGCGGTTGCAGCGGCAGCCGCTGCTGCAATGTGATGGGCGGACGACGTGGGCGGCGCGGGCGGCGGCGGGTGGTGTTGCTGCTGCCCCGCCGAAGGCTGTTGCTGCTGCTGTGCCCCTGTTGCTCCAGTGGTGGGATGTCACTGGGCCACCACGGAGGCGGAAGCGTTCTGCTGCACCACCACGCCGGAGGCCACCGAGTTGGCCACTGTCACGGTTACCGGCGGCGTGGGTCCTCCGTTGGCGTGTGCCACGCTGGGCTGCTGGGCCTGCTGCTGCTGCGCCTGGAAGGGATGCTGGAAGGGCGGTCCGTAGCATTGTGGGAAGTAGAGCTCGTTCTTCACCACCGACTGCTGGACAACGGCGGCGGCTGCCGCGTTGGACGCCAGGCTGCGCACCGGGAGGATGTTAGCCTTGTTGTCCACCGTCGACGGGTTGTTGTTGTTGAGGAACTGCTGGGCCGCCAGGCTCTTGGCGTCGTTCATCAGGTGATTGGCCACCGAGGTCACCTGTGCCACGGCGTTGTTGTTCTGTTGTTGCTGCTGCTGCTGCTGCTGTTGCTGCTGCTGTTGCTGCTGTTGCTGCTGCTGCTGTTGGTGTTGCTGCTGCTGCTGGCGCCGCACCTTGGTGGTGTTGGGATTCATGTGGTTGTCGATGTGCTTGGTCACCTCGTTTTCCGTGGCAAAGCGCCGACGGCAGTTTGGCATCGGACAGCAGAACGGGCGATCGCCCTGCGTAATGAGACAAGAATTCATGTATTAGGACTGTGGTCTAGACTACTAGGGATTATTTCTCAACTAGCATTGGAGTCCTGCCCCACTACACTTAAGCCCATTTCAACTTTTTGTCAGCTCTTAAATTTTTTTCTTTTGCTCGATCGGAGATGTGAAATGTCTTGTTCGTAAAGTGCCATCCGACTTTGGCGACTCGAGGATTGTAAAAACGATCAAATCTGACCAATTAGGCCGTTTTCCCTAATTATGTGATAAATATAGCGACATGAAAACCTGACATAACTTCTTTGGCTTCAATTAAGTATTCCTTAGTGCCTGGCAAGATTTGAGTTTAAAAGAGCAAGGAAAAACAATGCACCACTTTCAAAATAAATATAAATTAATAAATATGCCTCCTGATACCGCCGGGTGCAATTCTAAACAAACATTACTCTCGGATGGCACTGAGAAACCAGGCCCGGGTTGAGGCCAGGCTACAACTACCTGGTGGGTGCGCGTGTGCTGGTCCAGAATGGCCTTCTGCCGGAAGTCCTTGCCGCACTGGCCGCACTTGTACGGCTTCTCGCCGGTGTGGATGCGCAAGTGCTGGTTGAGAATGGTCCGCTGGCGGAAGAAGCGCGGACAGTACATGCAGCCGAAGGGCTTCTCGTTGGTGTGGATGCGCAGATGCTGGGTGAGGTGCGACTGCTGGCGGAAGCGCTTGCCGCACTCCGGGCAGGGGTACGGCCGCGACTCGATGTGGATGCAGCCGTGCTGCAGCAGCGTCGTCTTCTGCTTGAACTCCTTGTCGCAGATGGGACACCGCACGTAGAGCGGCATATTCGCCGGCCTGACGCCGATGTGCTGCAGCACCTCGGGCAGTATCTTTTGGCCTGTGTGAGGGTCTGATTAGAAGGTAGCCGCCTCCGACCACACCGCCTGCTCGTACTCACCCTTGCCGTCCTTGAAGTACGACGGGTAGTGCATGCCGCCGCTCCCGTCCGGCGTGCCCTGCGAGTCCTCGTCGTGGTAGCCGCCGCCCGTGCCGGCGATGTCGCCCTTGGTGTCGTTCTCCTCGCCGGGGAAGGGCACGTCCGAGGGCCATAGGGTCGGGTGGGGCCCGTTCTTGAAGATGAGGTGTGGCGAGACGTCTGTGGGAGGGACGTGTTGATCCGCCGCGGCACATGGAAAGAGTCAAGCGAGAGAGAGCTACTGTTAGCAGCGCTTAAACTTGGCGCGCAGCCGAGATACAAATCTTCGAAAGAACTGCTAAAAGCTAGCTTTCTGCTTATCTAGAGACGTATTTTTGCTCTGGCTGCCGACTTGCTGGGGCGATTGGAAGGCTGAGAACCCTGCTCTCCCAGGTTAGAGTTTACACAACGATTCTTTGGGTTCGCCCTCCGTCAGCGTCCTCAGCAAGACCGCGGCCCAGTGTTGACTACAATAGGGACAATTTCGAAAACCGGCCAGGGGTTGGCTCAATTGCATAGATAGTTGAATTTTGCAGGGAAATCAGTTGCCAAAGGGAATGAGTCGAGCTGGCCGCACCCAACCGGGGACTGAACTACCACTATCCCTAGCTGACCCCCCGTTCGAATCTGTATCTGTATCTGCATCTGCATCGGTAAGTAAGTTATCTGTATCTGTCGCTCGCCTTGGTGGGTGCGCACATGCTGATTGAGGATGGCTTTCTGGCGAAAGTGCTTGCCGCACTCGGGGCAGGCGAAGGGCTTCTCACCCGAATGGATGCGTATGTGCTGGTTGAGAATGGCGCGCTGCCGGAAGCTGCGCGAGCAGTACGGGCAGGTGAAGGGCTTTTCGTTGGCGTGGATGCGCAGGTGCTGGGTGAGGTGCGACTGCTGGCGGAACCGCTTGCCGCACTCGGAGCACGGGAAGGGTCGCGCGTCCGTGTGGATGCGGTCGTGCTGGAGCAGCGTGCTCTTCTGCTTGAAGTCCTTGCCGCAGGTGAGGCACTTGAACAGCCGCAGGTCGCTGTGCGGCTTGTTCTTGTGCGGGCGTCCGGGGCCGTTGCCCGTCCTTCCGCCGCTCGTCGCGGCCACCGAGCCCACACCCACACCCGCTCCCGCTCCGCCCACTCCTCCGCCCCCGTTGGCGCCCGCCCCGCCTTCATTGGCATTGGCGTTCGCCGCTCCCCCGTTCTGCTGGGCGTTCTGCTGAGCGGGCAGCAGTTCGGGCAGCGCGTAGGCCTGGCCCTCCCCGCCCCCGCCACCTCCGCCGCCGGACTGCTCCATGGGCAGCACGCCTTTGTTGAGATAGTGGAGCGGCGGGAAGCCGGGCGGTGCCAGCATTCCTCCCTGGGGCGCCGCGTGCCGGGGGGTGTAGTAGTCCGGGGTCTGGAAGCCGTTGCCGGGATCGGTTTGGGGTCCTCCGTTCTGCTGGACGTGCGGGTTGCCCGGCTCGCCCGCATTGGAGCCCGTGTGCTGGGGGTCGTTGCTGCTTTGGCTTTGGTTGGGCGCGGAGTTCTGCTGGTTGGCGAGCTGTAAGAGAAGGCAGGAGTTAGTCGAAGATCTAGCCAGGACTGCACCGCGGGGTCACGTGTACCTGATTCATGGGGTCCTCGTCGCCGGCCCCGTTTGCCCGCTGCTGCTGCTGCTGCTGTTGCTGGACCGAGGGGTACGGACTCGAGGAGGGCGACACCTGCTGCTGGCGGCCGTCGCCGCTGCCGTTGTCCCGCGCCTCCTGCCCCCCGCCCGGAGGACTCTGCGGCTGTCCCGCTGCCGCCGCCACCGCCGCCGCCTGGGCAGCCGCCTGGGCCGCGCTCTGCTGCTGCTGTTGCTGCTGCTGGGCGGTCAGGTGCTGCTGGGCCTGCTGCTGGATGTTGGGGTACATGTCGCCGCCCCACTGGGCGGGACTGGCGCCGATGGCGCCGGGGTTGCGGTCCGCGTCCTGCGAGTCCTTGTAGAGCACGTACGGCTGACCGGTGTCCTGCGTGATGCAGTACATAATCTGGCGCGGCACCTTCAGACCGGCCGCTATGCAGGCCGCAAAGGAGGCCGAAAAGTTGATGGCCATTGCTGCTGCTCCTCTGCCTAGTTCGTTAGTTTGGGTAAAGGCTGTGGTTTGCTCAGGGATACAGTTGACTTTGCCTGTGGCTCTGGCGTCGCTTTCGTTTTCTCAAAGTCCCTTCTTTATTGACTTCTGTTGCACATTTTGCGGGGTTTCTTGGCTTTCTTAGCTGTGCTGGCTTTTCGCCGCTGTGGTTTCTGCCGGTTATTTATTTCTCTTCATGTTTGTCAAATTTAAAATTCCTTTCTTCTTAAGTGTCTCATTTATTTATTTTGGTTTATAAACTGGTTTTGGTAGTTGGTTCTTCGCTTCCGAAGTCGTTACTTTTGCTCTTTTATTTGAAATTAGTTTTTACTTTTGACCTTGTCGGTTTAAAATGGGTTTCGAAGATGTTGTAATTGATGCGATATTCCTTTGGTTCAACTGGAAAGAGAATAGATCATTATTAAAGAGGCCATCAAGGTGATTAATTCATCGCAGATCTTATTCCCTCTCAACCATCGCTAGAAATTAACTACGGTATTAACTGCTTTAAGTCGTTGGCATGCAAAACGCATCCACCTACCAACTTCACTGCCAACCCACAAAAAGTGAAAAGACCGGAGACATTAGCAGAAATGCCTGGCAAATTAAAAACAATGAAGATCATCAGCGGCTGATTGGGAGGAGTGGCGCACAAATGGACACCGCATGCCAGGCAGGCGAGTTCCTCCCTCCCAACAAAGTCCCCCCCTGTGCCGCCTGGCGACCCACAAAGCGGTTGTCCACATGTTTCCTCCTTTGTTGTCATGCCTTGCCGGTCTGTCTTGACTCACTTGTCTCCCTGGCTCTCTTGCCTTTCGTTTTTGCGTTCGGTTTGGTTTTATCTTTGTGCTGTGTTATTTTTGCTGTTTAACGACGATGACGACGACGTGCCAACTTTTTAATGCGGGATCAAGGTCTTGGAGAGCGTGCGCCCCGCGCAGCTCAGGCACTTCGCAGAGGCGGGCCGGGTCTCGGATATACTCTAGCACAGAAATATATCCCCGGGGCAGCCCGCATAGTATCGCGTATATTAACTGTCCGCAAGGAAGTGACTACGCAACGCAAAGAGCAAACGTGTTCCAAAATTGTCGCCATTTCGATAGCGATTTTCATACATGCATAAATAGATACTTAAACATGGATAGTTAAAGTTCAATCCCCGGACAGAGACTTCCAATTAGGGAATTTCTATTTTCACATGAAACTTATTCTGTCGGTATTGTATTGCGGACTTCAGCAAGAGTATTCCAACGCATTTGCCACTGCTTAAGCCTTTTTCAAAATGGGTACCCTTTTTTTAAAAAGTTGGATTTTCACTAGATACAGGCAATAAGGCTGAAGACATAAAAATACAATTTCAATTGACCCTTAAGATATTTGAAAAACATGAGCTATGGCGTACCTCCAATTGGTTTTGACTAGTTTCGGGGAGTACTTTAAGATTTCGAAGACAAATGGTGAAATTCTAAATTCGGTATTTTTATACCCTTGCAGAGGGTATTATGATTTCAGTCAGAAGTTTGCAACGCAGTGAAGGAGACGTTTCCGACCCCATAAAGTATATATATTCTTGATCAGGATCAATAGGGGAGTCGATATAGCCATGTCCGTCTGTCCGTCCGTCTGTCCGTCTGACCGTCTGTCCGTCTGTCCGTCTGTCCGTCTGTCCGTCTGTCTGTTTCTACGCAAACTAGTCTCTCAGTTTTTGAGCTATCGGGACGAAACTTTCGCAAAAGTCTTCTTTCTATTGCAGGTAGTATATATGTCAGAGCCGACCGGATCGGACAACTATATCTTATAGCTCCCATAGGAAGGATCGGAAGAAAAAATCTTTAAAAAATTCTAGCTTCGGTGTTTTTTGAAATATTACCTTCTACTGTTGGGGATGTTATTTTTTAAATATTTCTGAATTTCAAATTAATTATTTTAAAAATCGGACTACTATATCATATATCTGCCATAGGAACGATCGGAAAATTAATGGAAAAGTAAAAGGAAATAAATTCTAGCTTCTTTGGTTTGTATTGTATTATCTTCTACTCTAGGATATAACTCTTTTTAAATATTTCTGAATTTCAATTTTAATTTGATCAAAATCGGACGACTATATCATATAGCTGCCATAGGAACGATCGGAAAATTAATGAGAAATATTAGAAAATTTAAACTTTTGGCGATTTGTTAATTAATAGGAATGATCTGCAAGGGTATATAAGCTTCGGCTGGCCGAAGCTAGCTTTCTTTCTTGTTCTATCTGCATTCCCTATTACTTGAAAACTCGTTGATATTCTGAACTGATCGTTTTTGAAATACACCAAATCCTTCACACATTAACAGATCCAAACTGTTACTTCTTGCTTTAACATCAGGCCAAAGACTTCCAGCAGAGAATCGGAAATCAATTATCGGGAATCGGCTATTGAGAGCTGGAGAGGCAAAGAGACCCAAAACTACCTTGAACCCACTAGTGAACGCAGGCTGCGAGAAACTCACTGCACTCAGGGTCGGAGACGCAGATGTCGGCTGCGTTCTCCAGCGATTACACTTCGTGTCAACGGCAGTCGAAGTATGTGTGTACGCATTCTCCACTCTCGGCATAGCCGTCGCGTTGCTATTTGTGAATTATTGCGCTCCATTGGCAGAGCAACAGCTTTTGCAATTTATGCGTTCGTTGTCGTCGCAGGTCGCCTCCATTCGGATTCCGATTCCGTGTCACACTATCTGTAAGTTCGGTGTTTTTGTTTTATTGGCTCTCCTCTGCTGATCTTCTAAGACGCTTCTCACCCACTTCCCTTGCTCTATAAGCAGGTGTATAACAGTTGCTTGTAAATAGGTTTGTCAGATAGTCGTTCTTGTCCCGGTTAAGAGCTAGTACTCAACCCAACAAAAAGTCGTCCAAAACAAAAAACTGCATATGAAAAACAAGAGAGAACGCTATAGTCGGGTGCCCCGACTATCAGATACCCGTTACTCAGCTAAAGGGAGTGCGAAGGAGATAGAGCTATAAACTTTGATCCGCTGTAACTTTTTATCGAATGGTCCGATTTAATCATTTCGATAGGTATTGATAAACACAATCAAACTGCATTTTTACTTTTCCGAAATATTGAAATTTTTAAAAGCGATTGTGGGCGTTAGAGGGGCGTGGCACCCTTTCGAAACAAACTTGCGCTGCGTAGGAACTCCTAGAATCTGCATGCAAAATGTCAATCTTCTAGCTTTTATAGTTTGCGAGATCTCAGCGTTCATACGGACAGACAGACGGACAGACGGACATGGCTATATCGACTCGGCTAGTGACCCTGATCAAGATACTTTATATACTTTATAGGGTCGGAAATGCTTCCTTCTAGGTGTTACATACTTTTGCACGAATACAATATACCCTTTTACTCTACGAGTAACGGGTATAACAACGTCTAAAAATTTTGTTTCATATGAAGTTTTTGTTTTGGACGACTTTTTGTTGGATTGAGTACTAGCCCTAAAACATTTATCAAAATAGTTTTTTTTTGGGTATAAGAAAAATTTCGGATTTTAATAATACTAAAAAATAAAATTAAATAAAAAATCAAATTAAAAAAAAAGTTAAGCAGAAAATCTCAGTCAGGATATGCGCTCCTTATGACATAGTTTATTAAAGTACGGGGATAGAAGCTACCTTCGGCAAGCACTTGCAGATTTCACGAATGAAAATTTGACTAGAATAAATAAATAACAAAATATTTTATAATGGATATAGACGTCCGATCGGAACGCGCTTTTACCCTGATCAAAGTATGCACAAAAAAATACGATTTGGAAAGATTCATGTCAATAGCTTTTACACTGCGCGAAATATCTTCATTTTTTGAAAGCTTTATCCGATTGTTCCTATGCGAGTTATAGGATATAGACGTCCGATCGGGTAGATTTTCAAACTTAATCTGCGTGCACATGTTTTAGGACGAATGTGAATGTTTAAGATCGCTACACCCAAAAAAATATGATCATAGAAACTAAACTATTTCTACATTAAAAGTAAACTATTGAGTGTCAAAAATTTCTCGATACTCTGAGTATTAAACTAATGGACTTCGAAAGTATAAAAATGAAACTTACGAAGTTGTCGAGTTTAAACTAACGAGTATACAGTTTATACTCACTCAGTGTACTGATATAAAGGCTGCTAGTTTATTTTGTATACTATTTAGTATAATGCCAGTATAAATATTATACCCCGTATTAAAGAGACAAAATTCAAAAAATGTTGTTTTGTACTTTTCATATATTATTAAAAGTATTTTTTACATTTTTATAAATTACTGAAGGTAATTTTTAATTTAACAAATAAACACAAATACAATACATGTACAAAATATGTATCACATCGCTCAATTAGTTCGCGGCCCGACATATAAGGAGCAGTAGTAAGCAAATATAGATATTTTTTATCGAAAGTGTCGATTATCATAAGCTCTGTGTAAAAATTATACAACTCTGTGACCACGTGCTTTTAAGTTACAAATTTTTAAGTAATACAACCTTTGGGTTTTTCTACAATATGGAAAAAAAGGAGTTTCGTGTCCTGATTAAGCACTGTTTTTTGATAGGAAAAAATACAGTAGAAGCAAAAGCTTGGCTTGATAAACATTACCCAGATTCTTCTCCGGGAAAATCAACCATCAAAGATTGGTACAATGAATTTAAACGTGGTCGTGTGGACATCAAAGACGCTGAACGCAGCGGTCGCCCAAAAACAGCTGTTACGCCAGAAAATGTGGCAAAAATCCGAAAAATGGTATTGACCGATCGCAAATTGAAATTAAAGGAGATAGCTGATGCCTCAAAGATATCGGAAGGCAGTGTGTTTACGATATTACATGAACATTTGGACATGAGAAAGCTCTGCTCGAAGTGGGTGCCGCGATTGCTAACATCGGACCAAAAGCAACAACGCATCGATGCTTCCGAGACGTGTTTAAGCATGTTGAAGCGCAATAGGACCGACTTTTTTCGCCGTTACGTAACCATGGATGAAACCTGGATACACCACTATACTCCAGAATCCAGTCGTCAGTCTTCTGAGTGGGTGGTAGCCGGTGAAAGCCGTCCGAAGCGTCCCAAAACACAAATATCTGTGGGTAAGGTTATGGCTTCTGTATTTTGGGATGCACATGGGATTTTATTTATAGACTACCTGGAAAAAGGTAAAACAATAAACAGCGAATATTATATAAAACTGCTGGATCGATTGGATCGCGTTATCAAGGAAAAACGTCCACATATGGCCAAGAAGAAACCACTGTTTCACCAGGATAATGCACCATGCCACAAGTCTATGGCAACAATGGTGAAATTGAGTGAATTGAGGTTCGAACATCTGCCGCACCCACCTTATTCTCCAGATATGGCCCCCAGTGACTACTGGCTTTTTTCAGATCTCAAAAAGCACCTTCAAGGCAAGAGATATCGATCAAATGAGGAGGTGATTGTCGATACTGAGACCTATTTTGAGGGTAAAAGTTCATCTTTCTACAAAAATGGCATAGAAAGGTTGGAGAAGCGCTGGACTGAGTGTATAGCCGTAGATGGAAACTATATTGATGAATAAAACAAAATTTTCAAAAAAAAAGTGTTTTTCCTTGTTAGGCCGGGAACTTATTGAGGGGTGTGATACGTATGTATGCATATTTGGGCAAATGCAGCCGTTTTACCGCTTATGTCGCTGATCATCTCCAGAGTGAAGGCCGTCCAGATGAATACCGAAGCTTGGTCGAGGACGCTGATATTGATGTTAACATTGCGCTGGCCGCGGTCAGAAAAAATGCAAGCCAATTGCAAGATCCTTGGTGTTCCGGCATCTGGAGCGCAATTCATGGTGGTGTCAGTATAAGGAAAATAATTCACTCATTAGTTATGTACTAAGACACAATTTAAATGTACTTACATTTCAAATAAGCCCAAAATAAGCAAATATTAAAATTTTCACAAGAAATTTTCACAAACAAACCTTAAACAGACCGCAGCGTCGTTTACAAAATACACTAATGTAAAACCCTTAAAATACTAACGCGTCCGAATAGCATAAAAAAGCGGTAACACTTTTTCTGTTCGAAATGTCCAGGTTCCAAACCAGAGCATCCTGGCCTCACACCAGGAACGAAAATCGAAACTTCGGTATAGAAATTAAACTCAGGGCATAAACTTAACACTATTGAGTCTGCTCCCTACATTATTCAGTTTTGAATTAATACTGACAGTTTAACACTAGCTGTAGTATACTTTTAATATAACGCTCATTAACTGTAAACTTTCGGATTTTTTTTTGGGTGTAGCTTTTAAACTGAGTTTGCAAACGGTATTGAAACAAACATACAGACGGACATGGCTATATCGACTCCCCTATAGATCATGATCAAGAATATATGTAATTTATAAGGTCGGAAATGCTTCCTTCTCCCTATTACATACTTTTGCACGAATATAATATACCCTTTTACTCTTCGAGTAACAGGTATAAAAACGTTAATATTACCAAATTACAATAAGTGCTGCAGTTTTCTTGTAGTTTAGTATTATTTTTAGTTGTGCCGTCAGTTAAATTTATTAAAAAAGAAAAAATTAACCTAGACCAATTTTTTTAATCATCATTATTACTTCTTTCTTTTCTGTGTCCAAAAAAACTTTTTGGTAAAATATATATATTTTTTGTTAATTAGATATTGAACAGTTTAATAAGTGCAAGTAGTACTCAATACTGAAGTAATTTATCTATTAATGTCAATTTTCAACCTTTCTTGAAGAAAAATAAATAATTCTCACGTCTGCTAAGAGTTTTAGTGGTTATTTATCAGTACGTAATCTTTTCAACTTGTAAAAGTGCTAAAAATAATGGTTCACGCCAAAAGTTGTAGGATTTGGCTCCGTTGTAATTTCGAATCTTAATTTTTCAAAATGTAAGCAACTTCAGTAGATGTAAGCAACTTTCTGATTTACAATATGATTTACAATGAATACAATACCCTTTATAGGTACTCTACGATAAACCTTATTAACTAAGTTTAAGTTATTTTATCGATCAATTTATAATATTCGTTGGAAACGAACTTCCGTCGAGTTATGGAAGTTCGAGGTATGGAAATTTACTGTGTGTATTACTCCTTTTTTGACCGCTTATTGTCAGCGAAATTGAGTCGCCAATTTCTGGCTCACGCTTCGCTGGCAGTGAAAGTTGTCAACGCGCCATTCCCCAGCTGCAACCGCTGCCCCACCCACAAGTCGTGGTCCATTTAAAAGGGAGAATGATGTTTTAGTTTCTATTTCTATTTGAATGGCGTCCAACAGCGAGGCAGCCAATGACGCCGTAGCTCAGTGCCAATAGCGAAGCTTGCAGTTTTGTGCTCGTGTCTCCAGCATGTGCACATGTATCTGGTGTGCAGTGCGAATATCTATATCTGGTGTCGTGTAACTTGTATCTTCAGGTACAGCGTGTGTCTTGCCTTGGGCATAGGCTGTCAGGTGTGAAGTAGGTGGAGTCTGCCCGCAATTGCCCGCCCAGCTCTGCTCCCATTACACGTTGATACTGCATCTCGTTTGGCTTGGCTTCACACTCATTGAGGACGTTTCCACTATACCACCGTCCAAAAGTCCTTAGAGTGCCTCAGGCCTTAACGGCTTTTGTCTGGAGGAAGCATTCCTAATTTTAACCGTTTTAAGACGTAAGAGCCCAAAAAACGAACCATTAATATTAGATCAAAGTTCGCAAAACAAAACCAAGTTAGAACTCAGATTCGTTTAATATGCTAGCATTTGTATACCCTTGCAGAGGGAATTATAATTTTCGTCACATATTCTTCATTAAAATCCATGATTTAGTTCTTCAGCTTAAAAGATTGTGATTTTTTGTGCTGAAAACTTAAAACTTCGCAGGCCTGACTTTAAAATTCTTGATCATAAAATTGGCGAGTTTCGCGTCGTTGTTAGTATGAAAATATAAAAAAAATCGGATTGATCGATCTAATTGTTGTCATACATAAAGAAATATCTGACATACTGAACGTGATGTAAAAAACGAATCAAGGTTGAAACCATATCACAGATAATATAAGCCCTGCATCAATTAACCCTTCAAATATTACATACTTTTTAGCTAAGTAACTAATTTATAAACGAGTATCAAATTGTGTTACTTACAATATTAGATTTACAAATTTGTTCAACCTGGAACTAATTTCTATGTAGATGTTTAAAGGGCCTTTTTTATAGAACCCTCTTCAAGGTTAAGGCAATAAACAAAAAAAAACACCGAAATATACAAATCGTCAAAAAATTTGGCGCTTGTTGCTGCAGCAGCAGACAAAAAAATGAGCGGCAGAACATTTTAGCTTAATTTGTGCAGCTATCTAATTCAATGTACAAAAGCTCTGCCAAGCACACTTAAACATACACACAACGAAGAGAGATCCATTTCTCAGTGGAAGGGGTGAAAAGGAGGAGGAAAAAAGTGGGGAAGAGAGCGCACTAGGGAAGGAGAGCGAGAGAGAGAGAGCGCATAGACTACAGCGACAGGTATAGAGATGTGAGAGTAAATAAAAACAAAAAGAAAAATAAGGCAAAAAGTGACTCACAAAAACAGCCGAATGGGCATTTTTCATCTATTTATTTGTTTTTGGAGAGCGTTTCGCAAAAAAACTTTTCTGCCTTAGGTTATCTGCGTAGCTTGTATTTTTTTGCCCACCGAAATAATTGAATTCAGGAATTCAGATAAGAGTAATTTCTGTAGTAAGTTCTTCAAGGTGTACCATTCTCCCCCGTTTGGATTTTGACTGTTGAAAGCCTTTCAAAGGGTATTCGAAGATTCGCAAGCCGTTATCATGTTTTTGGCAAATACGCGTACATTTAATTGGCGCCCAACAGAGGGGCTCTGTTGTGTGACAACCAACATTTCTACCGTCAACGAACCCATCGCTCGGCAGCAGATGGACGTTCCACAGCACGCTACACATGCATTAGGAGTTGGAGATGTACAGTGTACACTGAACACACATATGTATCTGTTAGATACACAGGCCGAAAAAACGAAAAGACAACTACGACAAGCACACACGCACATACATACATACATACAATTAAGTGATTTTGCTTGTTTTATTGCTGAACATTTTGTGGATTTTAGTTTTTTGTGCGAAAAGCGTTTTGGCTTATAATTCATCATATTCCTTTATGCCCTGACATTCGCACACATTCGTGGCTACGCACACACACAAATGCCCTACTCTTTCGGCTCCCCACCCCCTCGCCATCAAACGACTCAACCCAGACACCAAAAATATAAATGAATTCAGCCCCAGGGAGAATTTCGCAAAAAATCGGAGAGCAAAAAAGCAAATAAAAATTGCAAATGATTTGTGGCAATTTTTGTTGTTGGTCTTGCTTTTAGTTTTGCGCCTTTTGCTTTGAGCTCCTCTGCTCATTAGTGCCGTTTTGTGTATGCCCCTTTCCGCGCCCCTTTATTGCGCCCCGGCGAATCTCCTTTGCATTTGTCAACTTGATTTACGCGCAAACATTTTTAGTTGTGTATCTTTGGTTCCTTTGGTTTCTATTCAATTTGGCAACCTCTGCCACTCCTCAGGAATATTTTCTAATTGCAGCCTTACCGGAAAGTGTTAATTTGCGATGACTTCCGAATCAAGTTTTTGGAGCTCATCCCATCAAATAAGACCGTCATCCCACCCAAAATTTTAATTTTTCAAACCTCCACTAGCGGTGGACTTTACTTTGCTTATAGTTTTATACATATTATTCGTATTCGCATCAAATCGCATATACGTTTTGGGGGCTCGATTTCGCTTTCTTTCCCAGTTCATCCACTAATCGAGCTAAATTCTGTATCTAAATTCGTTTCCATGGCTAAGAGCACCCAAAACCATTGCAATTCCCGTTCTTGGGGGTTTGACATACTGTGGATGTGAGTGCTTTTGGGCCCAACGGCAGTATTAGTATGTATACAGGGTATAAAGACACTAACCTCAAATTGCTGATTGCGGCAGGCAATGGCACGACTTGTCGAAGCTCGGAACGAGGGAGCTGGAGGAAGTAGGGGCGAAAAATTGAAAATTGCAACGGGCCGCGAACACAGGCGCAGTTCGTAGCGCACACAGATGCACGTGCTCACACAGACACCCCCGAAACGAGCCGAAATTCGCATAGATACTTCTACCAGTGCACTAGCGGCGTGGCAGATACACACAGATACGCAGATGCAGTTGCAATGTTGCAAAAAGCAAACTGCAGACGATCGCGAAAATGCTTCTGATTCTACTTAGTGGCACTTGCTGTAGGTCCAAAGGGCCTGTCCACTTTTCATTTGGCGGTTCTTCATAACATCACAGTTTCGTATGCGCCTTTGCCACTCCTCCTGTGCTTCGCCTTTCCTAGTGGGGCGAAATTGCGTATACGCAGCGTTGTGCAGCACACAGGTAAATTATGCGTTGCTTATTCAACACTTTGCCCGCCTCGCGATTGTTTTCGGTGCACTTTTGCGTTTTATTTCGGTTTGTGTCGCTGGCCGACTACATTTTTAGTTATTTTTGATGGCTGCCTCACAAGTTCTCGACGGGAGCGCTCTCCGCACATGTACGTACGCGGTGTACAGCTTTTTTATTAGATGTCGGCACGAAAAATCGAACAAAATGCCAAAAAATAACAAACCGAACGCGAAGCCAACGCGAATCTGAGTCCGAACCCAAAACGAGACTCAACTCGACTTAACTTGACTCGCCTCTCAGCGATGCCTCGTCGTCTGAACGGTTGATTCTCTGCCGTTCGTATCCGTGTCCGTGTCTTGCCTCTTTCTCATTTTGCAGTGTCTGTTTTTGTGCTGTGCTCTGCTTGTATGGTGTACGGTGTATGGGTGTGCGGCAGCGCGCCAGCCTTTTGCTTAGGAGCCCCCAGTCGAGAGAGAGACCCACCTCAGAGAGTCTCTCTAAGCTTTTTTAGCCAAAACATTCGCGAATTTTTTCCACTTTTTGCCGGCGGGGCGAGTAAGGCTGTGTGTGTGTAGGTGTGGGTGTGGGTGCCGCGCGCGTCTTACACAACCGCCTCAGTGTTAGTGCATTCTCTCGCAAAGCTCGCTCTCGAGCTCCGTTGTCGATTTTCTAATGTTGGGTCCGCGGCATATCAGAGTTCAATCTACTTTTTATTTCCTCTACGCGCTCGCCGAATAACATGCAGAGTGCCGCAGAACTAGTGGAAGTAAGGACCCCACCATCGAAGATGCCACCCCTCCATTGACAGGAATTACATGTGATAGAAGATAGAAGATAGAAGTTTAATTCGATACATATAAACGAAAAATGGTTTGGTATCAGGATTTTTAGTCAATATTGCATAATTCGAATTTCTCTATACAGAAAGTCTTAGATGTAGATATTTAATAAACTAGCGTTATTTATGAGTCAAGGCTATGGTCGAGTGCCTCGACTATCAGATACCGTTTTCTCAGTAAACGGAGTGGAAAGGAGATGAAGATTTTAGAGATTTACAAAAAATATTTGCCTTTAGATGGTTATAAACAGATATGTACACAAGAATGTATATACATGTAGCAATAATGTACAAATTAAACCAAAACAAGAGAGAACCTATAGTCGGGTGCCCTGACTATCAGATACCCGCTAAGGAGCTAAAGAGAGTGCGAGGGAGATGGGGATATAAAACTATTTAATGAGGGTTCCGATTTGAAAAATTTCTTCTACATTTCGATAGGTATTGATAAATAAAATAAAACTGCATTTTTACTTCTCCGAAACCTTTAAAGGCGTGGGCGCCAGACACCTTTAAAAATCGTTTAAGGCGATTGTGGGCGTTAGAGGGGGCGTGGCGATCGGCTGAAACAAACTTGTGCTGCGTAGGAAGCCAACGAATATGTGTGGGTAATCCCAACTTTCTAGCTCTTGTAGTTTCCGAGATCTCAGTACTGGCGTCCAAAGTGATATTTTCTTTATTTCTATCACTAGCCGAGTCGATTTGTCCATGTCCGGATATCTGTTCGTCCGTATAAATGCTGAGAACTATACAAGCTAAAATGTTGGGAGTAAGGGTGCAGATTCTAGGGATTTCTTTGCATCAAAAATTTCTGCAGCGCCCCTTTTCACGCCCACAAATACCAAAAGTTCTTGGCTTACGCCAGCACATATCAATAGACCAAAAAAAAGTTTGCTAAAGTGCGAACTAACAGTGGAGTTGTAAAAAATTTAACAATAAAGGAAAGTTGCTTCGGAAGTTTATACATCCTTGCAGTTAAAGGAAACGCTCAATGCTTCGCTTTCTCTAGTTCGTGAACTACTACAAGACTTGTTTGCGTAGAATCGGACATGGCTAGATCGCCTGTGCTGATAAAGAATATACATATATACTTAATGGACGGGTTGATTTGGAACGTCCCATATGTACATATATGTACATATATACCGGTCAATGTCTGAAATGTTTTTCATCCTCCTTTTAGAAGTTTTACCCGAATTATAATAATATATCAAATTGTTTGCATCATGTACAAAATAATTTGATTCTTTTTCTTTTACTCCCAGTCTGTCATTGCTTAATCAGCTCTATTGATGGACATGCAGGACCAAATACCAAAGCCATTAAGACAATTATAACTTGGCACTCAACCGTCGCACCTATTGCAGCGACCCAGCAAATTCGGATGGCGGGCTTTTATCGTGCCAGAAATTTAGCAATTGTTCATTTGATTTCGCTGCTTTCCGGGTTGGAAGCGGTTTTCCAGCGACTGCGAGTGACAGGTGCGGCGTGGTGAGGAGAAGGGGTCAGAGGGGGCGGCACCGTGTACAAATATAAAGTAAATTATTGTATGATGTGTATGCATTATTGTATAAATAAACACCGTGCTTATTTTTTTTGCTATAAACAACAGAAACAAATCGAGCAGATATGCCATCTTCGCCCCCCCGATACATTTGTATGTATACGCTGCTGACATCGTGTCTTTTGTGCCGTTTTTGCTGGATGTTTACTTTTGATTGGTTTTTGCTTTATGTTAAGCTTTCTGCATTGCTGCAGAATCGGAAAACACGAAAAATTACAAGTTATTTTTTATGCTGCTCCAAAAAAATCAAAATGCCATTTTGAAAGAGAGCAAGAGCAAGCCACGAGGCAACCAAGCTGGCATCTTCCCTTGAGATGGCCAAGAATAAACGACATTTGGTGCCTTCAGAGATATAATTCCATCTCTCAGATGCCTCTTTTTTGCGCTGCCTCTCTATTTGTGCATCTGCTGTGCACTTTGCAGTTTAAATTTAGCATTTTTATTGCATTGTTGCCAAGATTCCTTCCACTCTTAATCTTCTCGTGGTTCCTGTGAGTTGTTTACCAATGCATTCAGCTGTTTTGCCTTCGCCAGAGAGTCTGTACTTGTGCCCCTCGTTGGTGACTTTGCGCCTTGCCTTTTGGTTCAGTAACCTATCGATTTGATTTTTTTTATCTTTCCGACTTGATAAACTGAAATTGTGAAGAGAGCGCCGGGAAATTGCAATCGTTTTGACATGCATATAAATGAAATTGTGAAAAGGGACAAAGGCACAAAACAGTTTTATACCTTTCTTTTTATACCCTTGCAGAGGGTATAATGATTTCTTTCAAAAGTGTGCAACGCAGTGCAATATTCGTATTGCATAATAAGAAATTTCCATGCGCATATCAATTTTACGGCGAAATGAATAAAATCGATTTTTTTTGGGTGTACTTTTTTTAAGACTTTGCAGACAAGAGCATTTACTGGTCGGAATAGATGATTATTTTCCATGGTTCCCCTTTGCAACTTACCATCCATTTACATACATATAAAAAGTTAAAACCCTTGCCGGTCTCGACCCAAAGCAACGTGTCAAACGAGTCTAATGCAATTACCTTAAATGACTGAAAAAAGGCAATTTAGCGAAATATGTTTAAATCTCGGGAAACAGCGAATGGCCAACAGCTTAGGTGCCGCAAGTATTTAAGAAGAGGGCCGACTCAACCGCCCAAGTACAGTTGGCAGGTGCCAATAAATGCAACCCTGGCTACTTTGTTGCCGGTTCGCTGATCAGTCCATGCGTGAAGTGTGAAAATCCGCACGCACCAAGCAGAAGCCTCCCAACGCACTACAGGGTGGCAAAACGCCTTTTCAGCTCTGGCCTCCCCCACATATTCAACTGTCTCTCCCATAAGTCTTTCCGTTTAAGAGCATTTTTGTAAGTAATAGGATTACTTTGGGCCAAGGGTCGCACACCTTTCCACCGACCTTAAGTATGTATTTTTACTGGAAATAATAATCACAAGGAACTAATTATATTTTATTTATATTATATTTCACACAAAAGAAAAACTTGGTAAAATCAACTGTAATAATTGTCAAACAGGCCCCAACCAGCAAAATTGTCAATTCTACTAAGTAAATAGTCATTTCACAACAACAAAATACACACAATTAGCAAAGACACAAACCCAAAGCAAAAACAAAGTAAACGTAACTATTTTAATAGTTACGTAACTATCTTTGTTGGTCAATTTTACCAAGCAAATTTTTTTGTGTGAAAGTTTTGTGTTTTAAGAACACAGGCCGACAGAATTTTCTTTTTTTTTAACTTTCATTTTTTTACAGTGGTGGACACTACTTTAGCACTCTCACGAAAATTATGTAAAAGTTAGAAGAAAGCGTTGCCGATCCTATAAAGTGTATATATTCTTGATCATTAGCCGAGTCGATCAAGCCATGTACGTACGACCGTCCGTACGTTAGTCTGTCCGTCCATATGAACGCTGAGATCTCTGAAACATTAAAAGCTAAGTATGAAGATTCTTCGTATTCCTGCGCAGAGCCAGTTCGTTTCATCAAGGTGGAGTAAAAATACCACACACAAAAAAAAAACTTGGTAAAATCAACTGTAATAATTGTCAAATAGGCCCCAAACAGCAAAATTGTCAATTCTACTAAGTAAATTGTCATTTCACAACAACAAAATACACACAATTAGCAAAGACCCAAAAAATTAGCAAATACACCCAAAGCAAAAATAAAATACACGTAACTATTTTAATATTATAATATACGTAACTATCTTTGTTGGTCAATTTTACCAAGCAAATTTTTTTGTGTGCACCAAAATGTAGAACAAACTTTTTAAATCGGTCCTCTCATTAAAAAGTTATGAGCAAATAATGCCTTTTCCAATTGATGGCACCACTTAAATACTAGACCATAGCACATCTCTTTTTTTTATTATTTAGTTTATAAATGAGGGGCTAGAAATTTTCAATTTTTCGGCGCCCCATTATATTGTACACACAAATGAGGTTTTCGCATACAATTTTTTTGGAAGTGTAACAGGCCTGTAAACCGTATGCCCGTATGCCTTTCGTTATACGCCACTTCTACTCCCGAAGCGGAAACACATTCAAATGTTGTGCCAAAAAATTTCTCGGGAGCTAAATGAGTTCTGACATAGTTTTCCCGGCTGTAGTGGCTGGATCAACTGAAGTTGAGCCAATGGGCGTCTGCGCATTTTTACGTCTGGAAAACTTTGTGAGAGCCCTTCGGGGAGTGTGTCAAATTCAATTTTAAAATGAAGTTGCCAGCAAAGGATGCTGGGGGTGCCTGGACCTCTATTATTTGCACATAGCTCGTTAGGTGAAAGCTTCTTTAAAGAAAAAAACATTTGTGTTTTATGTATTTCTCGTTTCAAGCACTTCAGCCTTACTTAATA